ACAATAGATATTCACTGTTTCAATCATACAAAAATACACAATAGATATTCACAATAGACAACAATTAATCTCCACTAATACATATACATTCATACACAATCGACTGAACATGGGGAGGATGCAAAATCATCAACTGGACTCAAAAGTTAAAAATCGAGTAAGTTCAAAAATCAAACGGACAAACCTGATTGAACATCAATGTACTCAATTGACCGCCGATTATCTTACGGTGGAGTAGTGGTATAGCACAGCGTCGATGGAGAATGAAGATGGTTGCCTCCTTGCCGGACGCCGGTTAGAACTTGGAAGTCGAAATGTAAATTCGCAGTCTCGCAGATGAAGCAAGGCAGGAGCGAGGGCAAACAACGTCACAATAGGAACGGGAGCGAGACTCGACGAAGACTTGAAGAGACGAATCTTGGATCGGTACGTCGATCAGAATTTTCCATTCCTTTGTCAGGGATTGCATTACTAGCGTTAAGGTTTGCAAGGACAGCTGGCACGGCAGTTGTTACTGCGGCTTGGAAAGTGGCAGCATCAATATGAAGGATAGGGGCTTCGTTGTTCGGCAAACTATCTCAGGAGGACGACATGATTCTGTAACACGAAAAAAACAAGGGGTTCGTGAGTGACCAAGGTTGGCTCTAGATTATTTGATTCTGACTAAGATATGAGTTATTATACATGAGAACTCAGCTTATAGACGTTATGATATAATCAAGACTAGGCAAATAGTAAAATGTGTGATTCTATTTTAGTTTCACATCCCGACGAGGAAAAGAAACTAAGTCAGCAATCTCACATTTTACTGTCTGCCAGGTCTTCGTTATATATAACTTGGAAATGTATGAGCGAGGAAATGATACTAATAACCTTCTTACTAACCCTTCATAATTGAACTAGAATTCCTAGTAAGAGCTATATTTGCACCTAGATGTATTTCAATCGTTCACCAATGGAGTAGGGGTATGTTCTCGAAGGTTTGACGATGAGTTGATTAAGGAATAAAAAAAAACCCTATTGAGTATTGACTGTTTGACTTAGTTTCACAATGAGGTAATCGGTGAGAATTTTGAATTGATTAAAAATATAACGTAACTGAATTTACACTTCACAGAAGGTTGATTGAATCTATACATGACATAAATGAATTCTCACTTTCACAATTTGAATTATGTATACGATGTTTTAAATGGATTAAAAATATAACATAAATGAATATTATATATATATATATATATATATATATATATATATATATATATATATATATATATATATATATATCGGGTACCCATCGGGTACGGTTTCGGGTAAGGGTATGGGTACCCGATATGTAAAACCATCCCCGTCCCCATCCCCGATTTTCACATTTGGGTAATACCCGTACCCGTCCCCATCCCCGACAAATCCGGGGATTTACCCGGTCAATTCGGGTTCGGTTTCGGGTACCCATCGGGTACGGGTTTTTTTGCCATCTCTATTCTTGGATCGGTACGTCGATCAGAATTTTCCATTCCTTTGTCAGGGATTGCATTACTAGTGTTGAGGTTTGCAAGGACAGCTGGCACGGCAGCTGTTATTGCGGCTTGGAAAGTGGCAGCGTCGATATGAAGGATAGGGGCTTCGTTGTTCGGCTGACTATCTCTGGATGACGACATGATTCTGTAACACGAAAAAAACAAGGGGTTCGTGAGTGACCAAGGTTGGCTCTAGATTATTTGATTCTGACTAAGATATGAGTTATTATACATGAGAACTCAGCTTATAGACGTTATGATATAATCAAGACTAGGCGGATAGTAAAATGTGTGATTCTATTTTAGTTTCACATCCCGACGAGGAAAAGAAACTAAGTCAGCAATCTCACATTTTACTATCTGCCAGGTCTTCGTTATATATAACTTGGAAATGTATGAGCGAGGAAATGATACTAATAACCTTCTTACTAACCCTTCATAATTGAACTAGAATTCCTATTAAGGGCTATCTTTGCACCTAGATGTATTTCAATCGTTCACCAATGGAGTAGGGGTATGTTCTCGAAGGTTTGACCTACATCCCTATGATGCAGTCCTGGTATCAAGGTAGGGGTATGAGTATCGGAAATCCATAAGATGGGGGTTGTTCCTACTAAGTTATCTTTATACTGGAGAGGTTCAGTCTCCGGCTCTGGAAAGATCTAAGGACAGTTCGGAACAACGGCTGCGGAAAGGAAGGCTCATGAAGACTTATGGCTAAACACTCTCAATCGAGGTTTTGGGATACGATCTAATCGTATTACTTGTGACGGGAAGAGACGATTTACGTAACACATAGTATCAACTTTAATCTCTTTTTGATATGTATCATCTTATTAGGCCTTTTTAATAAATACATATTTTATTCTACTTTTGACATGTATCACCCTATTAATTTTCCTAATTAATACATATCATTTATTAACATATTAATTCTTAATTTAAATTTTAAATTTTAAATTTCCCAGTCTAATTATATTAAATTAATAACATTGTAATAAAATTAAAATAAAGTTAATACAAATTATAAGATGATATAATTTATATATTTATTTAAATTAAAAATTATAATTTTATATAACTAAAAAATATCTTTTAATTAATAATTTATTTAAAATATTTGATTAATAATTTTGAGTTTCACTATAAAAATTTAATTAATTTTATAACCGTGGTTCCCACGGGTTATATATATATATATATATATATATATATATATATATATATATATATATATATATATATATATATATATATATATATATATGAAAAAACATCATAAATGGTCCCTGTGTTTTCCCAGATTCTGAAGTTTAGTCCCCATGGTTTAAAAATATCATAAATGGTCGTTGTGCTTTAAAAACTTTTGACAGATGGTCCTTATTACTAACTCTGTTAACTTTTGTCTGTTAATTGAGGGCATTTTCGTCATTTCACACCACAGGGACCATTTATGATCTTTTAAGTTATTTTTTTAAAAAAAGAAAAAACTAAATATAATTATTTAATATATAAAATCTCTCTCTCTCTCTCTCTCTCTCTCTCTCTCTCTCTCACACAGAACACATATACAGACAATCAAAATCCTCTTCACCTCCTTGTGTCACACCGATGTTTACTTCTGGGAAGCCAAGGTAACTATTATTCCCTGTTTTGATCTTGTAAAAACCCAAAATAAAAATCATAAATCTTTGTTTTTGAACTTTTCAGGTCAGAATGCTTTGTTTCCTCGAATTTTTGGACATGAAGTTGGAGGGTATGTTTGATTCTTGTTAAAACCGGAAAAGGGTTTCTTCTAATCTTTGATCTGAAAATAATCTAATAAGTTTTTAAACATGAACAGGGTCGTGGAGAGTGTTGGGGAAGGAGTGACTGAGCTTCAGCCCGGAGATCATGTCCTCCCTGTTTTCACTGGAGAATGCAAAGAGTGCGCCCACTGTAAATCCAAAGAGAGCAACATGTGTGACCTTTTAAGAATCAACACCGATAGAGGAGTCATGATTAACGATCAAAAATCTCGATTTTCCATCAACGGAAAACCCCTTTTCCATTTTGTAGGAACTTCACCATTCAGTGAATACACCATCGTTCATGTTGGCTGTCTCGCCAAAATCAACCCTCTTGCTCCTCTTGACAAAGTCTGCATCCTCAGTTGTGGGATCTCCACAAGTATAAAAAGAAATCATATTATCCTCTGATTGCAGTTCAATTGGTGTTTTCTTGACCTAATTAATCTTCGTGTTTTCTTCAAGTCCCTATGCAACTAATTAATCTTCGCCCCTATCAGATCTATGTCGCCAACCCCCTTTCTCAAGGTGTTCTTTAAAAATGCAGAGCGTAGGATTTTATGATTGGGTCGATTTTGGCGTGAAAGAGAAGAAGAAAAGAAATTAATGACTTCTGATTCGAGTTTATTGATAACTTTCATTGGAACACCGTCATTAACAACCTTGTAGAGAAGTTGTTGTTTGGTTTGTAGGTCTTGAAAAAAAGGTGACTTGTGGTAGTTCTTCAATTGAACAATGGGAGTTTTGTTGATGTGTTTGAATCAGAAAAAAAGAGGCATACGAACACAGAAGTTGGTTGTTGCTTGAGAGAGAGAGAGAGAGAGAGAGAAGAGAGAGAGAGAGAGATTATATATTAAATAGTTATATTTAGTTTTTTCTTTTTTAAAAAAATAACTGAAAAGATCATAAATGGTCCCTGTGGTGTGAAATGACGAAAATGCCCCTCAATTAACGGACAAAAGTTGACGGAGTTAGCAATAAGGACCATCTGTCAAAAGTTTTGAAAGCACAGGGACGATTTATGAGATTTTTAAAACACGAAGACTAAACTTCAGAATCTGGGAAAACACAGGACCATTTATGATGTTTTTTCTATATATATATATATATATATATATATATATATATATATATATATATATATTAAACTTTAATTTATAGAGGTCAACACACATAGCAGGTAAAAAAAGAAAAAGATAAATTTGTATGAAAAAAAGAATGAATATATGAACAATCCTTAATACTAAGCCAATGGTGACAAGTAAATTTGAGATCATGCCAAATTAGTAAAGCACGTATATGAACCAATTAATGGATCCAAGGTTATTTGTATTACATGGTAAGTAATTATGCATGATTATTGATCTAATTACGATCCTAACTAGTATATGTTTTATACTCGTAATACATATCTTGATCTTCGTGTTATAGAAGATTATATATGGTTCTTTACCATCCACCAAAAGTGACACTTCTTATTCTTCTCGTATATGTTTTCCCTAAGAACACCATCCATAATTAACAAATCCCACATTTGGGACATAAACTCATTCTTCACTTGTATATGAAATATGCACAATCTTCATCTTGGCTTGTACAGTTTTATATATATATATATATATATATATATATATATATATATATATATATATATATATATATATTATATATATATATATATATATATATATATTCATGGTACAACCGAAGATCCATCATGAAAATTCAAATCATGATCATGTTGTTGAAGATTTTGCTGGTAAGAAACGAGCGAGGGGCTGAAGTACTCGACGAAGGTGGTATTATTAGTAGCATGAGTAACTTCATGTGCATTTCGACCATTTGATTTCACAAGGGGAGATATTATATTGTCTTTGACAACGTTGGAGCCACATTGTCTAGGCTGTGTTTGGTAGAAAATCTTAGATACAACCAATTCACCTTCTTTTTCATCTTCATTGTTACCCAAATGGTATTGATGCATTACCCAATTCGTTTTTTCTGGCTTTTTTTGCTTCCCATAGTTAGCGTAAAGCACAAGTATCTTCTTGTAGCCTTTAACTTTTGTTTTCAGAAAAACTGGCCTCGTCTTACCAGTTTTATGCCATCTAGTCTCGCTCCCATCAATCTCACTATGCACCTTTCTTCGTTTCCTTGTTCCTGTGGTGTACGCTTTGGATGGTCTATGAAAAAAATGTCGAACTAAACCGTCCTTACTCACTCCTGCATGTGATTAGTTTCATTTAATTTAAGAAAGAACTCAGCACATGTCTCATGGACCATATATGCTCACTACAGTTTTTTACTGTAATATCCCGCTCATCCAAAAATTACAAACTTCAGCTTCACATGTTTTTTTAATGGTGACAATTAACTGGACATGTTTAATAATTAAGAGCAGGAAGCTTAATAATAAAATATCAAAAA